TTGGGGGGGGGGTGAGAGTTTTTAAAAATTATTATTATTTGTTTGTTAAAAGTGAATCATGCGTGAGAAAAATGAGATATTATTGCTCTAATTTTTTTTTTAATTGCTCTGATTTTTTATAACACTTTGTTTTCTGTATTATGTAAAACTTGAACTGATGAAATTGTTGGCTTTGGTAAAAAAATATGTATAGTAATACACAAGTTTCATTTCAGTTGTAATTAAGGGTCAAAAGGTCAGCGGGAACGGTGTCACATGGAATGGAATTTACATTTTAATTTTATAAATGTGAACCTGCAGATGGAGTCCCGTAGGTGGTTTGACATTAACACAATGAAATTTTCGGCAAATCCCGCGACGCTAATGATGCCAAGCTGTATGACATACACATGATGTTCCTTTGGGTTATCTAGATCTGAGGAGAGAGAGGTGATTTTTCTGTCTAGGGAACCAGCTTTTCCCCTTAAAAGAAAAGTTGAAGGCACGTGATCACGTCCCACGAAGTCAACAAAAGGGGGCAGGCTACCAAAAAATTTTTTTTTTAAATTAACCAACTTGGAGCAATTATTTTATTATGGTCATGTTAAGCTATGAATGGAGATATATTTTCATGCTTTAAAATAAAAAAAAAAAATTATATAGTTGCCACGGCAACGGCGGCCATCTTGAAAATAATACCCATTCGTAGAGTTCTAAAATTTTAAAAACAAACATACATATTGCTTAAAAATTGATTGATTCATGAACTTCAATTATATTTAGAGGTACTGAGCTAGTTTAATTTCCTTAAAACTTTTCAAAACATTTTTTTTTTTAATTTTTAAAATTTGCCTCGGCAGAAAACGCTTAAAATTTACCATCCTAGGATATGAAAAATATTATTTTAACAAAAGTAATTGACCAAATTGATTTTTGAATAGCTCATTACCCACAAAATAGTTAAAGGAAGATACACACCAAATTTTATTACTCTAGCTTGTATATTAGCTGAGATTTTAGAATTCTACGTTACAAAACAACAGAAAAAAACAATTTTGAGAAAAATCAATTTTAAACTTTAAAAGTGAAAAATTTTAAGTTTAATATGAAAATGAAGTTCTTTTACATAGTTTTTTTTGTTCAGCAACATGGACATGGTGGTTTCTTATATTATTGAACTGTTGAATGCACCAGGAACATGGGTTTTAACTTCTTGAACTTCATCAGGTGCTCTCGTCAAAATCACAATTTTAAACAAAAAATTTTTTTCCTCTGGAATAAAGCTAATTTGTGTTGTATTAGAATTTTTAGTTCAGCATTATAATATAACACAAGTTATCCAAAGTCCCCAATCAACCCTTTTGTCCATGATCCTTTTAACCATGCTTAGATGACAAGGTTATGTTGCTGTCGTCATCACTGAAATTAAAGCATAGTTTCATGACAGCAATGCTATGTTGAAACTTTTGTACCTATTCTGTGTATTTTTGCTGAGATCCCGTTCCTTGTTAGGATACTGTTCCCTGATTGGATTTCATCCTCGTTGGGATCCATTCCCGGTGGGATCAAGTTCCCAGTAGGATTATAATATAAAGGGCGTGTTTTCAACTTTGGCCAAGACCCATAATACATATACGTATAATTATAAGCCAATTTATATGTATGTTGCTTAAGCCATTATAATTATAAGAGAAAATTATTGGCAACTTTCTGGACTCTTTCAAAGTTATCTTTCAAATTTATTTCAGAATATTCAAGAAAACTCATTGAAAGTTATAGAAGAAAACATCATAAAGACATTTATATAATAAACGGTTTTAGAAGAAAATCAAACGTACTTGAGTATTCTATAAACTTCAAGAAACTAATAAAATGGTAAATCTCCAGCCCTGATAAATGTCACAGGGAGGTACAGAAATCTACAGAACTAAAGTAAAATTTCCATAGGACATAATTTATTTCATCTTAAAATCCTCATAGAAAAAATGTGAACATTCTAGAATAAAATAGAAAAGTATAAAAAGACAAATCACTGATACTGAGAAAATACAAAAAAAAAGACATATAAATCTATAGAACTAAATAAACATTTCCATTAGCTTTTACATCCCAGTAATATAATTTATATGCTTCCATGAAACAATATAGACCTCTCTGAAAAATTCACAATTTAATTTGTTTAACCACAAAAGAAACTGCTGACAAAGTTTTCTTCTATGAAATCCTTTTTTCTAGAAGTAAAAAATTCTACCAAAAAATGCCATAACTTTCAACCATTTTCCATTTAAGTTCAAAGAGGGTACCTTGTGGGGACCCATTCCATAAGTTGAAATTTTAGTTATGCCATTAATATGGGCCCTATAGAGAAATCAGCCAGATAAATAAATAGAGTGAAACTTAAAATGCTGTAGGGCCTACCATTCCAGTAAAAGCGGTTAAAAATGCAGAACTACATTTTTTAAATTATTGAATGTTCCGTAAACTTCAAGACCGGCCTCATGAGTGGATATTTTTACTTTTAAACCCACTGATATTTTAATATGGACCGTAAAGGGTATTGCTACTGAGCGTGTCCTAGATACTCGGTACCGTTTAGTATTCGAATCTTGGTAGTCAAGTGTATGTGTAGGCCTACTAAGTTTGATCTGGATCCATCCATAACTCGTTATGCGAAATATCGCTCATTAAGGGAGCAACTTCTTCACATTTTTTTTGCTCATTATATGAACTACTCATTCATGCAGTAGACAGTTTAATTTATATAGCTCATATAAGGGAAACAAATTTTTTCTACATTCAAAGCGCACCCCCCCACCCCCCCCCACCCCCCCCCCAATAAAAACAAGAGCAAAAGAGAAATAGTCATGACATTAACAAAAAATACATTTAAGAAATAAAGAACAGCATGTAAACAAAAAAACAAAAACAAATGTATATTCACCCCCCCCCCCCAGTTATGGTAATGTGTCAAGTTTGGTCATGATCAAACAATCAATGAATGAAGAAACATATGCGGAAATAACAAAAGTTTCCCTTTTAAATAAAATACATGTAGATATACTTTATATGAAAGCTTATGCAGCCGTCCTTTATAAACAGTCCCTATTAATTATTTATTAAGCATATTAAATGTAATTTTTGAATTTTTAAACAATGATTCCGTTGATCACCTTTAATAAATTGCCCATGCCCTTGATAACACCATGGGCCTGATGCTGAAGAGTAGAAGTAACAGGTCAGTGTTGTCATTCAGAACACTTTTAATTAGGAGAAATCTAAAATATAAGTATTTCACTTGTGTTGCGAACTAGATTTAAAATAAAAGCGAACGTTTGGTTTGGGGGGAGTTTTTGATTGTGAGAGGTTTTCCGAGTTGTAGGTCATAAGGTCAGATCGTGGGCTTTTACTTTTAGTGTAATGCTGGGTGTTCGTTGTGTAGAGAGGTATTCTGCAGTTGGTTAGCGTGATAGCTTGAATCTGTTGCTCATCCGTGTAAATAAAGAACTGTTGTATTTTAATACTGAAATTTTGTGATTTATATCCTAGGATAGTATTTTAACCCCTAGATAAGGTTAAGTCTTTTGCCCGTTCAGTAAACGTACGTACCTACTGCGGGATTTGTTAAAGGGTAAGGAGGAAGATCCTAACACTAACATGTGAAGTCTTAACTTTATGAAGATTGTAACAACATGCAAAGCAAAGGTGGCAATTTCATCAATAAAGAGATTGTCTACTGATATTGACATGATCTTTCACATGCTGAGCACATTAGAAATAGAAAGAATATTTTCAAGTAGGCCTTTTGTATAGCCAATAATTGATAATAATTAATCAAATTATATATCAAATTGTCTGAACATAAAATCTACAGACAGAGAAGTCCAAGTTCTGTACAATAAAAAAGGTGATAAAAGAGAATACTTAAATCAACTGTTTTAATGATCTAATGCATTCTATATTTAAGGTAGGAAATGGAATACAATACAAATTAAAACTAGGTTATCTTAGGCTAAATTTCACATAACCCTATAAATAGGGCTGGGAAATTATAGAAATGCAGCATTTAATATTTATAACCGTGTCACATAAAAAGTATAATCCCGATTCTTGTTTTGAAAAAAAAAGATATTTATTGTTTATTTCCTGCAAGTCTTAGTCTTGTTGAAATGTAAAAGTAAGTTGTTTAGTCCTTTTGTGACTAGTTATGCTTTATTGTTATAGTTTGTGTTAAAGATTTTCCACAGAATCACATTTAAAAGGTTTTTCTCCTGAATGCGTCCTTTTGTGTCGATTAAGATGACTAGCTCTTGTAAAACCTTTCCCACAGTCATCACATATAAAAGGTTTTTCTCCCGAATGTGTCTTTTTGTGTCGAGTTAGATCTCTATTGTTTGTAAAACATTTCCCACAGACATCACATTTGAAAGGTTTTTCTCCTGAATGTGTCCTTTTGTGTGTAGTTAGATCATGATTTGTTGTAAAACCTTTCCCACAGACATCACATTTGAAAGGTTTTTCTCCTGAATGTGTCCATTTGTGGTGAGTTAGAATATCATTGCATGTAAATCCTTTCCCACAGACATCACATTTGAAAGGTTTTTCTCCTGAATGTGTCCTTTTGTGTCGAGTTAGGTGACTACTATCTGTAAAATATTTTCCACAGACATCACATTTGAAAGGTTTTTCTCCTGAATGTGTCCTTTTGTGTTTTTCTAGGTGACTATTTTGTGTAAAACCTTTCCCACAGACATCACATTTGAAAGGTTTTTCTCCTGAATGTGTCCATTTGTGTTGATACAGATTACTAGTGCTTCTAAAACCTTTCCCACAGACATCACATTTGAAAGGTTTTTCTCCTGAATGTGTCCTTTTGTGTTTTTCTAGGTTACTATTTTGTGAAAAAAATTTCCAACAGACATCACATTTGAAAGGTTTTTCTCCTGAATGTGTCCTTTTGTGTGTAGTTAGATTACTATTTTGTGTAAATGTTTTCCCACAGACATCACATATGAAAGGTTTTTCTCCTGAATGTGTCCTTTTGTGTCGAGTTAGATCTCTATTGATTGTAAAACCTTTCCCACAGACATCACAGTCGAAAGGTTTTTCTCCTGTAAATTTTTTTCTGTTTGAGTTGTCTGACTCTCACAGAAGTTTCTTTCTTCTTTAGACTTCTTTGTAATGGATATTTTCCCACACCTTTAGCTTGGTCAGTTTGTTCTCTGGATATATCCCTCTGCTTCATTTTCTAATAGTCATCATGGTGTTTTCTTCTCAAGTGATTCTCAAAGTATATTTGATGTGAGAATGCAGTAGTACAAAATTTGCACTTAAAAATATCTGTAACACATAAGACAATGATAAATTTAATTAGCTACTTTATTAAAATTAACCACTGGTAATCAATATAATTAAAAGAACACATAATATACAAGTGGATTGTACCCTTGATTTGAAAAAGCAATGTCATTTCATGTATTACTTATTTAAATAACTTAATTTCTAAAAGTACATAATTATACATGACACAATTGGAAGCCAAAAGTCTTTATTCATTGAAGACAAAAAAGCATTATTCAATATTTTTACAAGATGTAATGCCTGGTAAAAAAAAATTATAAAAATGTAAGCATACCCTCAACTGGTCCTGATGGACTACCATCTCTATCATCCTGACTAGGATCAAGGACACAACCATTGCTTGTTGGAATGATGAAGTCATTTACCCTTGGATGTTCTGAAGGCTTTGATGAGGATATTCTGCTAGCTTTGCCAACAACCTCCATGTCTATTCCTAACTCTTTGGCGTAGCTATCCCCATAGTATACCTGAGAGCAGTATAAATACATTGAATAAATAAATTGTCACCATTATATACCTGACATCAATTTATAAAACATACAACTTATTCGGTTTAGAGAGAAATAAGTCAATTCTCTCAGAACTTATAATCAAAGAAGACTGACGCTCTTCTTTACCTTTTAGTCCATATTCATAAATCATCTGATTATTTTCTAAGCATTGTAGCTTAGTAGCAGTTTAGAGCCTTGGACCTAAGTTTTGGTTGGTAAATCGATTCTTTGAAAAAAATACACACCTCTGGTGATTAAACTAAACTTTAATCAAACACAAAAAATGCTAAATACATAGAGGTTTAGATAATGCAGCTAATTAGGCCTTTCTAGCTCCAGGTTTCGCACTGGGTGGGGCAGTGTTAGCATCTTGCTAGGACATAATTAAGGTCAGCCTTGATTTTGACCTTTGCAAACCCATAATTCAATGTGTCTAGTGGGGTTTCTTTCCTGGGATTCTGAGATCCAGCACAATTTTTAGCAAAACCAAAGACTTCCGGGTAAATTTTCACATCCAGCGCGACTTTGCCGATGGATACTCTTAGAATACTTTTTTCTTATTTTTAAAAATAAATAAATATTAGCAAGTCACGGGTTTTCACAAATTATCAACTACTTTTATATTATGTAGCATCATTTTAATTCAAAAATAAACTTGGTAAGATATACAAATAAATGGATACATTTTTATTAATAACTCTAATAGTTTTTTAATTGAACAAACCCTTTTAAAATTTAAAATTTTAGAATTTGTGACCTGTAAAGAATGTAAAAAGGACATAAATGTAAAGGTCAAACATATTGTTAGCTAGTTATCTATTACTTGGGCTAAGTGGAGGAAATGAAGCAACTAGTACCAAGGGACCAACCTCTTAAGTAACCTTAATATCATTTTCCATTTATTAAAAGACAAAAACAACTAAACATTTAATTTAAAAAAAAAAAACACTCTTACTCTTCTATAGTTTAATTCAGTTTCTAATAAACAGTGGAACCTCTCATAACGAGTTTAATTCATTCCAGACTCTTACTCGTTAAGCGAAACACTCGTTAAATGAAACAATTTTTCCCTTAAAGTAAAGTACAATAATGCGTTCCATGCTGAAAATATACTAATTTTTCAAAATTTTTTATTAACATTTATTCAAATAAAATTACTTTTGAATTGTTAAGAAGTATAACAACTTGGAATACAGTTTAGATTTGAAACAAAAAAATAAATAAAAATATGAATTTATGACAAATAATTAATCCTTTTTAACTAGAAAACTGTCTAAAGACATTTGTTTTTGCTGACGCTTCAAAATTTGACGAAACTGTGTCACAGCATTATCATTGAATAAAATGTGTAGCACGAATAGCCACGCTCACACCTTGTTCTCGCTTTTCAATGATTTTACGTTTCATTTCAACAGTAATTTTTCCTCTTTTATGATTGTCTTCTTGTGTTTTTTTTTTCAAAGACATTTTAGCATAGTTTATTACACTTTGCACATAAAAAAATTACAAATACTGTCTGAATACAAAATTTGTAAAAACGGGTGCTCACACACGAAAACAATACACTAACAGACCGAGTGCTAAACACAGACTAATGCAATGGTTCTCAACCTTCCTAGTGCCGCGACCCTTTAATACAGTTTCTAGTGTCTTGGCGACCCTCCAGCAACCTAATTATTTTCGTTGCTACTTCATAGCTGTAAGAATATGTGTTTTCAGATAGTCTGAGTTGACCCCTGGGAAAGGGCCGCGCTACCCCCAAAGGGGTCATGACCCACAGATTGAGAACCGCTGGACTAATGCATGGGCGCGGAAGCCCCGGCTCACAAATGAATGTCAGGAAAAAAGGACTTCCCCTTTCTGCGTAACTCGTTATGCGAAATATCGCTCGTTAAGGGAGCAACTTCTTCACATTTTTTTTTGCTCATTATACGAATTACTCGTTATGAGAGGTGCTCGTTATGAGAGGTTCCTCGGACTTTAAATTGAATTAATTTCCTCCTCGATGCCGAAATGAGATTTACTTTTATCCCATTTTCCCGGGATAAGCAAAATCCTGACAATTAAAGACAATTAAAAGTTTGTGAAGCAAATGCTTTTTCTATATTTGCTGTTAAATTTTCTTTGGGATTAGAAATTAAAACTCTCTGGCAGTAGAAACTAAAAAAAAATGTGAGTAAAAAAAAACACCAGAAGAGGGAAGCCTCCATTATTTAAATACAAGTCCAATCTTAATCAGTGCAGCTCAAATAAAAAAATTAATATCAACTTACATTATTGAAAATCTCACATTCAGCTTGAGGCCGAGGACATTCTTCATTGATAACATCATTAATGAGGGGGCATTCATAAAGGAGTGGGGATTTGTTTCAATATATACAAGGGATGAGTGAGTGTGAAGAAACTTGACACCTACAATTTTTTTCTTTTTATATACTGATTTATGCCCACTGCTTGCATTGAAGTATGCTAAAAATCTTTTGACTAGTGAAACCACCTGTATGGCTGATCTATTGAAGGAGATATAAGCCACTTGTGAACACTTGCGTCAAAATAATCTTTACATAAAACCTTAATAGTGATTTTAAATTTCAAATGTCACGTGTTAGATTTATTTTTAACCATTCATTAAATTTTTTAAAAAAATAACTACTTCTATGTGTATCTTTTAGAATTGGCAATTGAAAAAAAAAAAACTCAATTCGGCAAGGAATCCATACATTTTATAATCACTGGGGTAGTTGGAAGGGGGAGGTGCATTAGTTGAAATTTTTACAGCATTAGAGATATAATTGGACTGTCAGAATTTATGGATCATTATTGCAGAATTCGTGAGTAAATTTACATACCTTCTACCGAGACATACCCCTGGCCAGACCCAGGTGTACACGAAATTAACAACTGCCTATCCAACTCAATGCGTACGTATAATATTGATGGACCCTTATCTAATAATCTATGCATTTTAAAACTGATAATTGCTTGGTTAGTAAAGATGACCTTAAAGTTAATGCAAGTTGCAGACCTGTTTACTCTTACGATTCTGGCGTACAATGTACGATTTAGAGGCGAATACTTACATATACTGTATGGTTATTTTTTATTTTTTTACTATTAAGATAATGTATTGAATGATTTTGTGATGATATTGTACGATTTTAAGAGTTTGTGGGTAAACAGGTCTGAAGTTGTTTCAATAAAAGCCACAGTAACCATGTTGGTTCAATGTCTCACCAGTATTTCTGTGCCAGGATGAACATCCTTATGAGTTCTGTAATAGATTTCTCCTCCATGTTGGTAGGCAGTTACACACTGCTCGTCTTCATGCCTAGCACAGTTGACAAATCTCATCTAGTTAGAGTCACTCGGGTCACTGCCATTAACAACGTGTGAAGGCTTGCCATCTTTATAGATCTAAATATGTTAAAGATATGATGAGATTATCTGTGAGTATTTGGAATCCAGGCAAGTAGTTCAAATACAGTTTACAAAATTACTGTCAAATAAATATATCAAACTCACCAGTTGAGGCAAAAATGCTTTGCATATTTTACAAGCCACTTATCAATGGCTCACACAATATAACTGTCTAGTTAAGTGGTTCTCAACCTTTCTAGTGCCGCGACCCCTTAATACTGTTTCTCGGGTCGTGGCGACCCCCAAGCCACACAATTATTTTCTTTGCTACTACATAGCTGTAAGGATATATGTTTTCAGATGGTCTTAGGCGACCCCTGGAAAAGGGACCCGCGACCCACAGGTTGAGAACCGCTGGTCTAGTGTAACTTCTCTTCACACATTATAAGATAAGGGCAATTAATAGGATCATCCACTATAACCTCTCTTCACAATATAAGGATAAATAATGTAAAGGTTCACACAATTTAAGGATAGTGCATATTATCTTGATACAATGCATCAAACTAGTTACAATATTATCTACTTTTCATTAAAAACTGCAGAGCAAAATCTGTTTTAATGTGACATTAGATTTATTATCCTAAAATATTTAGCGTCCTTCTGACAAGCTACATATATAGACCATTGATGGTTCAATAGTAAGGTGAGTGGGGAAAACCCAAATAACCAAGAACAGAGATATAGGCTTCATATTAAAATATGTAAATAATAGGGGGGTAGTCACCGATGTGTCTGTGAGAGGGTGAGTGGTAGATACCCAGGAAAAGAAAAAGAAACTAACTAATAATTGCAATAAGACCTAATCAGATTATGTTTCCACAAGAGGGAGAGACAAAAAGTAAGAAGGATTAATTAAAAAACAAGTATTGTGCGCATTATGTTACAAAAGGCTAAACAATTCTTTTATACACAATAACACGTTCAAGTTATGTAGAAGAGCATAACCCAGAATTTATAGCAATATATGTCTATAGCTAGCATAATTTTATGATGCAAGAAGCACCGTCCCCTCCAATTATTTCTATTGAGGGCCATAATCTGTCAGTTGAGCATTTTACATACCTTGGATCCAATATCTCTAGTTCTCTCTCCATTGATGAAGAGGTGAACATCAGGATCTCAAAAGCAGCAGCAACTAAGGCTAAATTGAATAAGCGGGTGTGGAATAATCTCACTCTAACTGATAGTACAAAACTAAGCATCTATTAGGCTTGTGTGCTTATGAGGCTCCTATATGGCAGTGAAGAGTGGACCACATTTGCCAGTCATGAGCGGAAACTCTGTAGCTTCTATCAAAGATGTCTGCGCCCCATTTTACACATTCGATGGCAGGACAAGGTGCCTAACAGAGGTCTTGGAATGTGCAAAAATGTGTAGTGTATTCTCCGCACTTGGCAAGAGGCGCCTTCGCTGTTTGGGCCATGTAAGGAGGATGGAGGAAGGACGTATTCCAAAGAAGCTGCTGTATGGAGAGTTAGCAGAAGGGACAAGACTTATTGGACAGCTACGGCTTCGATTTATGGACGTTTGCAAAAGGAGAAAGGAGCATGATGGAAGCCAACATAGAAATCAAATAAATGGGAGATGATTGCTGAGCAACGTTCCAGCTGGCAACCAGCAGTGTAAGAAGGAGTCAAAAATGCACTAAATGAAGGTCTTGCAACAATAAGAACAATACTGAAGGTCAGATCTAACCAGGAGTCAATATTCTCCAGCTAGAAATGCAGCTGAGATCGGCCTAGTGTGCCATTTGTTGAAGTGTACATAGTTACTCCATCGTCTCGTGAAGATGGAAGGGTGCCACATATAACCAAAGAGAGTGCTACTCAAATGTAAGAGATTTTGAAGTGCTGGTAATAGTTTAACAGAGGAAACAATTTAATTTTTTAAACCTTTGGAAACAGAGCTTAATTTTGAGTTTCAGTGCCAAGAAGACAAAGCTCTTTTCACAAGCCACACAATTATATAGCAAAAAAATTAATAAAAAAAATTACTTTACATATATAAAACTAGATATATTCTTGTAGGAAATTGAATGAACTAATACAATCTTTATGAATCAAGCTACAATCTTCATGAATCTAGCTGAAATCTCAACATTTATTCAATTGAGCTAGTAAATTTGTATAATTTATGCATGTATTTTTTGTTAAACTTGAAATGTACAAGGCAGCAGCTCTTTGCATATGCATGTGAATGGACATGTTAATAGCTGCATCTGTCAGTTATATATTATTCAAAATTTTGCCATGTTGTATGCCACACATAAATCAAGATTTTTTAAATTTAGGAATTCTAAATTTGACTTATTATTTGATATACTTGTTGCATCCTACCCATGACTTACTTGCCAACTATAACCAGACTCTTGGGCGACCTCTTCATTTCTTTCTTTCTTTCCAACATACGGTCCAAATCTGGTTCGAGCTGGAAAAAATTTAGTTGCTACAACTCCAAGACCAGCACCTTGGATTTTTGATTTCTTAATGGCAAGTCCTTGGGGCAAAGTTTTCCAGCAGTAGCTTGAGTCCAAACCTTTCTCACACTCTGGGGGGACCTTAACATATTATATAAGAATGAGCAATAGTGACATAATACCAAAGAACCTATACGATTTAAGTAAATTGGCATTCCTAAAAACAATCATAGTTATTTTCTATTAGACTCTATTTTACGGAATTGGAATAAATTAAAATGTGCAAAAAATATTTTAAATCCACTTTTATTTTAGTAAAAGTTTAAGTTTTATCCAAATGTAAAAATTATAAAAAAATTATTAATTAAAATATTATGATCCAAGAATTGCATCTTAATCACATGTATCGGGAAAACCCAAACATCTGTTAATCTTAGTGGATATTTTAGTGTGTTGTTAATATTGGGAAATAAAAATAAAATTTATTTGATATAAATCATTAAACAAATTATGTCATAGGGAGATGGCCTATTTTACCCACAGCTCTAACTTTCTTTCATTTCATAACTGTGAGTAACAAAACTGATAATATAGTTTCCCCTTATTAAAAGTAAAATTAAGAAAAATAAGAGATGACATTTTAAATTGCTAAAATTTTCTAAAATTAAATACAACTTTAGCTTTGTATTTTTTAAATTTAATAAGTTTTTACTTTTTATTCTCTCTAAAGAAAACTATTATGAAAGTTATGGGTTAAGACTTTCTTAGATAGATAGATAGATGAAAGATAGCATTAAACCTTTATTTTCTCCCTACCAACGCATACTACCAACACAAAGATGGCTTTAAAAATTGCATTTCAGAATGTGAGTTAATATGTGGGCCTACGAAAGTAAGTCTTTTGTTTATTCTATTTTTGTTCAATTTTTATTGCAATTTAAAGTTCACACAAAACCCTTACTTCTAGGGGAATAAGATTGGGAGCTATGGAAGTGTTTGCATCACTAATTAAATTAATTAAAATATGAGTATTATAGTGAAAGGTCCAAATTAATTATAACTTTTTATCCCCATAACTTTATTCCTGGCAAAACAACTTGTCCATCCTTACAGCACAACCTGTGACCAATCATGTATTTTAAAATAAAAGGCCCTTTTCACATTACAGAGGGACAGGAACCTTAGAGACATGCTTGTTAGAAGCTATCTCCATGCTATTAAGCACACATGGGGCATCAGAACATGTGACCCATGCAGTATGATGTGTTCAGAATCATGGATGGAATAATTAATTATTGCAGTCCCAATATATAAAAAAAAACACAAGAATTCTGTCCCATTTGAAACATTTAAAACAGTGGAAACAAAACTGGAAACAAGTGGTAACATTAGTGGGATATCAGATATTGCTCCTACTGGTATACTGTAAGCTCAGAGAACACTTGAAAGGATTATTATGGAAAATAAATGAGGAGTCCACTTGCAAAACCTGCTAAGTAACTTCTAGTTGATGTTGAGAAAAAGTTGTTTTTGTAAGTTAACTATATATAGTGAATATAGCATTTATATTTTTTTACGTGACATTTTAGACATAAATGAAGATTTTGATTAATTGAAATACCTAAAATACTGTAGATTGACACTAAACAAACCAGCCATAATGGATCATTCATTTTAAAAAAAAAAAAAGTGACTCAGCAAGTTTTGCAAGTTGCCTCCTCTAATTAGTTAAAGCATCCTGCACAACATACAGCCCGCCAGCACCCACTTGGCGGCCCACGAAGTAATGAAATATTCTTTATGACTATTATTTTATTAATAGCTTTCCACCCGTCCTCTTAACTTTTGGCCTGCACAAGTTTTTCATAATGTATTACGGCCAGCAAGAGTTTTTTTTATAAAGTATTACGGCCAGCCTCACATTTTGAGTTGTGCAGGCCTGGTTTAAAGAATAGGTAAGCTAACCAAATTCACACTTTAAATAGCTTCAATATTGTTTCCTGTTTTGTCTCAAACTGTACTTCCACCCACATCTGTTCTCTTCTTTTCTTCTTGAGTTTAGTCAGTGACTTTTGCCTACCTTTTCCCCCTTTCCTCTGTTTACATATTAGGTAACATATAAATTATGTAATGTTAAGAAAATTTAAATTCATTTGTCTCTGTTGTGTTGATATACGCATTAGCCTAAACACCTTAAATTGGTATTTTATTTGACTTAAAATAATTATCAATATAAAAATTAATATTGAAAGTCAAATTCAATCATTGTTTTAATTTTAGATATTAATTACATGTTTCTGTTGGAATCAAATATTTTTTTCTAATGCACTGAAATGTCAGGTGTTTTTTTTATACTTATAAAGAATTTGATGAAGAAAATCCCAAATTTTATTAAATTCCAAATATTTTGAGTAGACTATAGACACTAAAATATAAAATTATTCAAAACTTACTTTTGGATCTTCAACTGGAACAAGGCCATGTAATGGGCACTCAGACATATACTCAAAATTGCACTCTTCACAAACTGAAATAAGAAATTATTATATTAATATAATATTAATAAATACTTACATTCGAGCTCAACTTCATCAAATCAGCATACCATAACCTGCCCCCAAAGTTAATTTAAAGACTTTATTCATACTGACAAATAAGATGAAACGTTTATTTGTGAGATACAAAATTTAACTCATTCCATTTGTGAGATTACAGTCTGAATACAATCACTATATGATGATTTTCTGTAATAAAAAATTCTTAGATAAATAGAGCAATTACTACAATGAAACTTAAGGCGACTAACATGATAATGAACTACAACAATGTCTAAACTTATGTCATCTGTATCTTGTCTTAATTTTGTATCTTTATACTAAAACCTTTCAAACTATAAAACTGGGAACAGGAAAAACTACAGAATAGAATTCTTGTCCATAATTATTTTTAAACATACTAAATTTCATATTTGATTTGCAATGGACAAGAACTAATAAGGATAACACTGTTATTAAAATTATACATTTTTTTAGTTCAATTAATATTATAGGCTAAATACAAAAGTAGTAGTTTGAAACTTAAAGATAAAGTCTTTTTAAAATAAAAAAATAGAATAAGCCTACAGACAGTTCAGCTCTAATACTTACAAAAGAAATCATCATCTTCAGGGATGGCCAGGGACATAAAATTTGTTATTCTTTTCTTCCTCATTGGATACTTATGGACTTCCTCCTCACTCTCCACTTCTTTCTCATTAACTTTGACCTGTTTCTTGAACTAGCAGATTTTTTTAAAATAAGCACTAATAGCTCATTTAATAATTTGAATAAGTTTTCCACATTAATTGACATCAGATTTCATTACCAAATTCAAGCATTAAGTTTAAATTTGCTGCTGAAAGATTGTAAAATATGTCAACAAATTTTGACCTAACTTAACTGTTTTAACATTTTTTAACTTTAAGATTGAAGCATGTTTTTTTTTCCTCTGGTAAATATTAATTATAAATATCTCTTTTTGCAATTAATAAATGTTTTGTAATACAAAAATATATTGAAATCGAACCTTTTCCCCCTTTTTTGACTTTTCTGCTTTACTTTTAGTGGAGTCAATTTCATCTCCTGGAATTTTCCAAGAGGTGATCTTTTTTTTTCTTGTACCTTCCAAAAATATGCAATAAAATTTAAGGAAATATTTTGATAAAATTCAAATATAGAGAAAACATTAAGTAATCCAATTTTAGTTAATAGACTTACAAAAAGAGTGATTTTTTTTTAAATTTTAAATTGAGCATTTAGTATTTTTCAATTGCAAAAAAAATAAAAATTTAAAAAAAAATAAAAAAATTTGAGGTCAATGTTGTTTCTCATTTTAATGTACAACTGAGATGCCAATGAGAGCAAAAAAAATAGTCTGCCCTGTTTTAAACTGCCAGAACTAAGATAGATAGATAAGTATCCTAGAGAAAACAAAAAGAATGAAATCTGACATAGAGCAACTGAGAGCAGTCTGCAGAAAAGAAACCTGTCAAGTCTCTCAAAAGCAGCCAATGGAATGAAGTGGCAATCCTTAATCTTGCCTCAAGTACCAGTCCGGACAAGATAATTAAATGAAATGAATGAATATTTTTACTGATTTTACCTGAAGTTACAGCTGCTTTTCTACAGCTGGTGTCCATTCATAATCTGATCCTTCTGAGTCTGAGACAGGAATACCTTTGAAGACACTCCATCTATCCTGTGTATTTTTCTTAACCATGAATTCTGGAGGTTTTACAGGTAAACCTGCAAGAGAAAGGAATAGAGCTTTATTCTAGCCAACACTACATAAAAAGTTATCTTTACATCACTATAACTATATTAAACTCACTATCTTGCATGATAAATATTTTATAAAAACTCAACTTTCCAATATGCAATCATTTAACTCATCCATTATGTAAAATTAACTTTGAGATCATTCAATGATGCTATGAGAATTTATCGGATTAAGTAGTTCTTCTCAAAACACTGTTATTTCATTTCTATTTTTTAAATTAAAAAACTCAAAAATAAAAATTCCCTTATTGTAACAAAAAAATCTTTATCTGTTAAGTAATTGTCTTTTAGTCTTTTTTAAATTTCCCTTTATTAAGTATCTAATATGTAGGATAGATCACACATTATTGTATTAAAAAAATTTAAAGTCACGCAATTTTTGTTTTAGTTTTACCGACAAAGACATTTGCCAAAAAATCTAAAGTTGTATTTTGCCCATTTATTACTCTTTTACTTAATACAATTAATGTCTTTAATTTGCTCTTACCAGCTTGTTTAAGAACTTCATAATTTTGTCTCAAGCTCATCAAGAGTAGTCTTTCATAGGCAGATATAGCAGCATATTCTTTAGGAGTAAAAAATTCCTCAATAGTTACTGCAGTTTTGGGGGGACTTTTAAAACACTTCTCCATGGCTTGATGACTTGTAGTTATCTCAACACTATATAAATGGAGGTATTTGAAGCCTTAAATACAACTTTAAAAAACACAAAATTAAATAAATATTAAAAATTGGGAAATGGGACATCTGGAGCTTCCTATACTAACCAGTGCTTTTTTAAGATTGGAATCATTTTCAGAAAATGAAAAGATTCACATAAATTCTTATACAATAGACTCATTTATTTGAATTATCTTTTAACGTGACATTATTTATTTGGTAAATTATAGTATGTCTCCTAATTACTACTGTATAATTGGCAATTTATCCATAGGCCTTAAAATAAAATGTACAGTACAATACAATCAAAACACATTTCCATTTATTTGGATCAATAAAATAAAACTTATATTAAATACAAAAAAAAAAATTGGCTGCCAATTAAGCGATGATCTGGGAGTTTGCTTAATTGTGCAACCCATATATATGCACACTTACAGTGTTGCACAGAGGTGTAGCTAGACTGTTTGGAGCCCAGGAACAAAATTAATTTTTCCAGCCCCCTTCCAAACACTGAAGCCCATTATTTTCATCAATAAAATACTATCAAAGCCCATTATTTTCATCAATAAAATACTATCAAAGCCTATTATTTTTATCAATAAAATTCTATCAAACCCCATTTTGGTGCCCAGACAAGTTTGGCACCTGGGAACTTCTGTTCCCTTCTGCCCCCCTGTGGCGTAGGCATATGATACACATCTAAGTGTGAGCTTGCACTTATAAAGGTTAAGAGCTTAATTTTAATTGATTGCTGATACTAGTAGTAAGAAATCCAACTAACAGATTTTAAGACACATGGTATAAAATGTATTTCCTGAATAGTCTGTAAATGTACAAGAAAATTATTGCAAGAAAAGAAGATCATTTGGTTAGTAAAAAGAGAGATCACAAAAATGTTATGAATAGTTTAAGCTACATCAATAGAAGAGAATAAGGCACTGTTAGAACACTGAATACCTTATAATAGCAACACAGTAATAATTTACTAAAATTTCCTTAACCATTCATGGTACAGCTATTTATATTTCAGTTGTGTTGTTTTGAACCCAGAAATTAAATACACATAAAATTTCAAATTCAAATCTTTTATTTTAAAAATAATTTGTGGACAAGTTTTTTCTGTAGTGTAGTTGGTTTATAAAATTATATTCCTCCTCCAAACCCCAAAGCAAAATAATTAAAAGGTTAAATTTAGTTATATATTATTTATATTTTATAAATAAATATATAATAATTAATAGGTAATCTACCACTTTAGCGTCGGTTATGCGAAAATCATGTTCCAGTTTGAAGTGCTATTTAAATGATTTTTCTTTTATTGATGGCCGTTAATAGGACAGTGAAGAAAGGGCTAATTTCTGTGGCATAGAAAGAGAGAGTGGGCCCTGTTTTCTCGTTTAAGTGCCAGACCAACATGAGATCACTTTACAGGAGAGCATAGAGAGATATATGTCAGTGATGGGCAGGGCAGCTTATTAAACATAAAACAGATCAGATACAGAATATACTTTGATCCTAATGAAGCTACTGTTCACACGCAGAATGTTGAAAATATGAGGATGCGATCAAAGTGCAAACTCAAAAGACAGTTTGGTAAAAGCTGCAAACTTTCCCCTTCATATTTGCATGAGTTGACGCTCTGCAATAGTTTTCCTAGATATTTTCAAGTAGGCCTACTTCCTTGTTACCTTGGGCAAGAATTATGCATATACTTAAACTGTTTTCTTTTCATATATTAATATTATTGGTATTAAATTTTTAACATTTTTGTTTTTAAATATTTTGTCTCTTGGATTATTTATAATATATGTACTGATATTAATATGAATATGATGATGTCATAAAAAATGTCCTTTTATTTGGATCAAAAAAGAGTTTTATTTATAAAAGAATAACCCTTTAAATTTAAATAGCACTTCAAACCAGAACATGATTTTTGAATAACCGAAGTGGTAGATTAGCCTACAAATTATTCTTGCAAGGGCTTTAGTTTGCCCATATTCTGCCTCTTTGATTCCCTCTTCCACAATGCTGTTCATTAGCCGGAATTATTAACAAAAATAATAATTTAAAAAAATTAATCAAACATTTAATTTAAATTTAAGTTTCAACCTATACATTTAAATTTGAATCCTTTCACTTCTTTGGCACAGTGCTTTTCTACACTTCTGCGCAGAGTTTCTTTACAAGTCTTTAATAGAAAGTCTTTCTTTTGTTTTTAAATATTTACAAAAATTTATGTGAATCTGACATGACATTATTAAATCCGATTTAATAATCATAAGCAATTAATAGATTCGGATACTGTGTCTTTAACCCTTCTAGTTCTAGACTTAAATTTATCCTTGCTAATAATAATAAGTACGAAATTATGTATAAAATTTATGAATAATAAAATCTTGCCTCACAGTTACTCTTTTTCTTAGTTTTAAGTTAGACACTTAAGTCCTGGCCTGGCCTTGGGCGGGTTGAAGCAGCTTGCCTCTCTTGTTGCCTACAAGTAGTAGTATAGTTTATTTTGGATATTTCTAAAATAATGGTTCAACGCGCTGAAGTATCAAGATTTACTGAATATCAATTAATTAAATAGGTAAATTTTAAGGCCGACTGCCACTTAATATCCAATTTCACGAATGTATCCTTAAATCGATCCCTATGCCTAACCTGAACCCTAGCCTAAAACGATCCCTGTGACTGTGAATGTGAACCTGAACCCTACTAAATCGATCCCTCAATCTAACCTAAACCCTAATTCAATGCAACTATAATAAACACCGTGGCAGCCGTCCTTAATATTAGCCATTATATACAACGATCACTTAGGATGTATCCTGTTGCATCCTATAAAAAAAATATTTATATAAAACTACATTAATGGAGGAAGAAGAACTTTGTTTTGAATTTAAGAGGCGCCATCAGCTGCTATTATTAGCGGTAGTTGTAATCGATTTTTAATTTTGTTAGTCATATGATCATCTTAACAATACCATAATGTAACTTAATATCTAATTTTTTAAACATTTTTAAAAAGCTCATTAGAATTAACTTGTACCTTGCTATTGTTATTTAAGAAAATATATTTTTTATTTTAAAATCTGCTTGAAAAAATTTTAAATAATAATAATAATAATAAAGTTCATTTCAAAAACACGCTTCATCCCCAAAGGCTCGAAGCGCGGTACAAAGTCAACAAAATACAAATCTATAATTTACCACATTTAAAATAAACGCAACACTACA